ATTACGGTCTTTTGTGGACTTTAAAATCTAGAACTGATTATCCATATTAAGCCTGACTTTCACAATTATGATCTATAGTCTGAATATGGTAGAGAGTTGGCGTTACTCAAGCTCCGTAGGCTAATGCTGAAAACAATTAGATGTTGCCTTGTAGCACTTTTTAAATTGAACAATTGTCTCATAACATCCTCGAAATATCTAGTTATTGGTTGGTAAAATATCAGTATCTCTGATTTGATTTGATAGTTATGTAGAACAACTAAATAGTATCCCATTCACAGTTCTAGTTAAGTTCACATCACATATATTTCATTTTGCTCTGGTGGCACCATCAAACAGTCACACAATCGCGAGATTCCAAGCTGGCTGAAATTTCCGAAGATCAGGGCTGCTACGATGAATCAGATTAGTAAAGTGTATGGTAAAGATGCTATGATGAAATATTGCTGTTCTCAATAAAATGATCGAAGGGTGAGCTAAGAGAGGTTTCTTGAAAAAAGATTTGACCTTGGAGAGCTTAAATATAATTAATTATAATTCTCCCCTACCCCCAACTTTTCAATTTCCCTATTTTGATGTTTGTGTTGTTGCTATGTTGTTGCTAGGCAACCTCATGGACTGAAACTATGGAATAATATCAAGTCATACATACATACACCTGCATACTAAATTGCTGATTTTCATATGTAGTATATCTTGAAATATCAATGCTAAAGACGAAAACAAGTTGAACTTGTAATTGTTGACTATTCAATTTTACGTTACATTGATCTCGATGGAATGTCGCGATACCTGCTATCTTTGAAAGTGCATAACTTTAGTTCTAGAAAAGCTTTTACCATGATTTTAATTTTACTTGCGGGGAAAGAAAATTGCCAATTTATCACAAAACTTTACAACCCCTAGGTTACGTTGACCTCGATCTAACCTTTTTTCTGAAAAGGTAATATACCAATACGCAATAACGTTTAGTTTTAGCTCAGTTTAGTTACCTCCCGTTTGAAGAGCTCTCATGTATGGTACAACTTCGTATACATCCGGGTTCTTTCCCATTGAATTACACAGGGGTGCTATTTTCAAAGTCGCACTGCGACTCTATAAGACATTTATGTAGATTTTCATTTGCAAAAATGATAGGTCTTTCTGATTTTTTCAAAAGATTTGATGATTATATAGGCTTGAAGACTTATGGAAGATCAAGATATACAAGAGGTACAGCATGCTGCATGTTAGAAATCACAACCAAGATGAAGCAGGTCCCTAAGGATATAAGTAGCAATGCCACTAAGGATATAAGTAGCAATGCCCCTAAGGATATAAGTAGCAATGCCCCTAAGGATATAAGTAGCAATGCCCCTAAGGATATAAGTAGCAATGCCCCTAAGGATATAAGTAGCAATGCCCCTAAGGATATAAGTAGCAATGCCCCTAAGGATATAAGTAGCAATGCCCCTAAGGATATAAGTAGCAATGCCCCTAAGGATATAAGTAGCAATGCCCCTAAGGATATAAGTAGCAATGCCCCTAAGGATATAAGTAGCAATGCCCCTAAGGATATAAGTAGCAATGCCCCTAAGGATATAAGTAGCAATGCATCTTAGGATTACTAGTATACACTAAATACCAATGGTTAAAACTAGACAGAGTAGTACTAAGAGTAGTAGAACAGTACCATTTGCATGTTCGAAAATTGGATAAAAAACAAAAATAGTGCTGACCCATCTTGCAATCTGTACCGTTTCCTTGGTAACCAGGTAAACACGTGCAACTAACACCTCCGTTTGTGTTCGCACATTCTGCATTAATATCACAGTTGTTCAGCGCAGGATCTGTGCATGGATCCACTACGGCTTCCGTACCTGAAATATATAATTTGATTCTGTGTCATTTTGTGTCACTAGACGATTACCATTTACGACAGAGATAATGTAACATTATACATTGTGAGATCGAGGCAGAATCAACATTTTACTTGCACTGTATTACATTCTTGAAACATTACATGTATTGATAACGATAGAGGTAATACTTTACATGATGTCCCGTTCCCTTCATATCCAGTTTTGCAAGTACAATTAACAGCTTCGTCTAAACCAGGGGTACATTTTGCATTATCGTCACAGTTGTTCAGCACAGGATCAGTACATGGATTTGGCACACCTGAAATATAACTTAATATTGAGTCTTTGGACAATTACCGGCTACGAGGTAGACAAAGTAACATTGTCGATGTGAGATTGAGACAGAACCGATTTGTTCTTGTGTATGTTACATTTACTGTGTTAAATATTATGGAAACATTGATAGTGATATAAATACTACTTATCAATGTAAATGACAATGTAAAATTATTAATGTGAGAGTTAGATAGAAACGATTTTCTACTTGTGCATGTTATATTACATATTGATAACGTTAGAGGTAATACTTTACATGATGTCCCGTTTCCTAGAAATCCAGATTTGCAAACACAGTTAACCTCAGTTTCACTCACAGGGGTACAGTTTGCATTATAATTACAGATGTTAAAGGGAGAATTACATGGATCTGGATAACCTGAAATATAATTTGACATAGCATCTTTGTTTTGTAATAAGACAATTATCAATGTAAATGACAATGTAAAATAATTGATGTGAGAGTGAGATAGGAACGATTTTGTACCTGTGCATGTTACATTACATATGTAAAAAAAACAAGAGTTCATTGTTTTTGAAAATCGACACTTGGCAAGCTTTTAAAAACCAGTGTGGTATAGAAGATGCATCAATAGTTGAATAGAGAGAACAAACGAAATCAAAGTTTAAAGTTGAATAGCCAAGTGTAAGCTATGGCCTCGGCTATTATATCCCTTGTCTTTTAATGACGTGACAGCCGTCTACGAATTGTTATCATTAAATGTTTGATACGGATAGGTAATACTTTACATGATGTCCCGTTTCCTAGAAATCCTGATTTGCAAGTACAGTTAACACGGTCGTCTGAACCAGGGGTACATTCTGCATTAGCGTCACAGTTGTTCAGCGCAGGATCTGCGCATGGATCCACTACGGCTTCCGTACCTGAAATATATAATTTGATTCTGTGTCATTTTGTGTTACTAGACGATTACCATTTACGACAGAGATAATGTAACATTATACATTGTGAGATCGAGGCAGAATCAACATTTTACTTGCACTGTATTACATTCTTGAAACATTACATGTATTGATAACGATAGAGGTAATACTTTACATGATGTCCCGTTCCCTACATATCCAGATTTTCAAACACAGTTAATATGACTTGACATAGCATCTTTGTTTTTGTTATATGACAATTATCAATGTAAATGACAATGTAAAATTATTAATGTGAGAGTTAGATAGAAACGATTTTGTACTTGTGCATGTTACATTACATATTGATAACGTTAGAGGTAATACTTTACATGATGTCCCGTTTCCTAGAAATCCAGATTTGCAAACACAGTTAACCTCAGTTTCACTCACAGGGGTACAGTTTGCATTATAATTACAGATGTTAAAGGGAGAATTACATGGATCTGGATAACCTGAAATATAATTTGACATAGCATCTTTGTTTTGTAATAAGACAATTATCAATGTAAATGACAATGTAAAATAATTGATGTGAGAGTGAGATAGGAACGATTTTGTACCTGTGCATGTTACATTACATATGTAAAAAAAACAAGAGTTCATTGTTTTTGAAAATCGACACTTGGCAAGCTTTTAAAAACCAGTGTGGTATAGAAGATGCATCAATAGTTGAATAGAGAGAACAAACGAAATCAAAGTTTAAAGTTGAATAGCCAAGTGTAAGCTACGGCCTCGGCTATTATATCCCTTGTCTTTTATTTGCAAACACAGTTAATATGACTTGATATAGCATCTTTGTTTTGTCATAAGACAATTATCAATGTAAATGACAATGTAAAATAATTGATGTGAGAGTGAGATAGAAACGATTTTGTACCTGTGCATGTTACATTACATTTGTAACAGAACAAGAGTACATATTGTTTTTAAAAATCGACACTTGGCAAGCTATTAAAAACCAGTGTTGCATAAAAGATGCATCAATAGTTGAATAGTCAGTACAAACGAAATCAAAGTTTAAAGTTGAATAGCCCAGTGTAAACTACGGCCTTTGCTACCCCTCGTCCTTTATTGACGTGACAGCCGTCTACGAATTGTTTTTCATTACATGTTTGATTCTGATAGGTAATACTTTACATGATGTCCCGTTTCCTAGAAATCCCGGTTTGCAAGTACAGTTAACACGGTCGTCTGAACCAGGGGTACATTCTGCATTAGCGTCACAGTTGTTCAGCGCAGGATCTGCGCATGGATCCACTACGGCTTCCGTACCTGAAATATATAATTTGATTCTGTGTCATTTTGTGTCACTAGACGATTACCTATTACGACATAGATAATATAACATTATAAATGTGAGACCGAGGCAGAATCATCATTTTACTTGCATTTGTAAAAGGGAGAACCACATGGATCAAAATAACCTGAACTATAATTTGACAGAGCATCTTTGTTTTGTCATAAGACAATTGTCAATGTAAATTTTCTTAAACGCGTACTTGAACTTACGCTTTCAGGTGCACGGTTTGCATTCACAATCATTATGTAACTTTTTACTATTAGAGTAGGATTTATTCTGAATATTAAACAAACATGGAACATTATTTCACATCTTGTGCTGGATTTCTTTCGTCAAATTTGTCAACTTGCACGTATCATGATGATGCTGCTATCGTTAATCCATAACAATTAATTGAAACGGATGTCTAATATTCAATACGACAGAAAACTGAACGTTCATCGTCAACATTTCGATTTGAATGTCTTATAATTAATAATATCACTTACGTATAAGTGTTAAAATGTGTTTGAATTGTGCAGTTTTTTTATCACAGTTGAATAAACACATCGATGGTCAGTATTTTCCCAACACGTAAAGAATAATTGTCTGTCGTCCGATTTTGTCCCTTAATGCCCCATTCAAAAATAACATGTTTGTTCTTTTCAAGGGACATTACCAGACAAATAAACGCTGTAATCCAGACATCATCGGACAAAATGGGACGACGACGGACATTGTCCGATTATGTCAGCGGGACAACAGCGGACAAGTTTGGACAAAATGGACTAACGGTCAAGCCGGACAATGTCCCATAATTCTTCATTCTTATAAATGACAACTCTAATGACAGGGAATACTTACATGTAACGCCGTCCCCTTCAAATCCCGGTTGGCAAGTACATGTATAATCAGATCCTCCAGTGGAATAACATTCAGCATTAGAATCACAGGGGACAAGCGTCAAACATGGATCGGTTGGCTGACCTTCAATACAATTACATGTTGTGGCATTATTATTTTTATTATAAGATGTTTATCAATTACAACTAAAGAGACAGTGTAACGTTATTGGACTGAAGCGAGATTGAGATAGAAACAATATAGTACTTGTACATTACATATTATGAGGTTATATAATGGTTCATTCTGTATATCGTGTTTATACTCGAGTGAGTATATGATATATTCACAAGTGAGCGTAGTTGTATACGATGACGATATACCACTCTCCACTGTATATCGTTGTTATAGACCCATGTTATACAACTGTAATTGGATTAACACCCAGGTATTTTTATTTTCCAAACTTCAGAGGGCTGGGAATCATTGATGCTCAACGCTTTTGAATACGATAAATGCTGTTTAAATAGGTTTTACGTATGCCAATAATTTCTCAAATTATGAGTTGAGGATATCATGCAACAGGACAACCAACAACCAACTGTCAGAATTGAACGCAATACGTCGAAAACAGAATACAATGTTTTTTGGGGATTTATCTGTATTGTAACCCCTTAGAAGTAATAAATATGGCTTCTCTAAGCCAAAATAATCTGAAGGAAAAAGCCAATCAGACTGGAACAAATTTGAGCGGGCTTTTTAAATTTAATTTGAATTTCTATTGATGTAAGTGGAAATTCAGGGCTAGGAGCAAGGCTCAGAATTGATAAGTTGATAAAAATCGCTTTACAACAAATAACACTACAATATCAGGGGGTTACTCTAACTGTGTTTTTAGGAGACCCGATCTTTTTAAATATGTTTGATCTGAGATTGCTTTCATTTTTAAGTGGATAAAATTGATTTTTGGACCGGGAAATGGACACTGGCGGTGTCTGCCTACATATTATTGTAACTGCTATGCATGTAATTTAACTATTTTTAATTGTAGCGGTGACATTAACAATTCTGAACTGCCAGAATTTTATGACAAAATGCTAGGATGCTGGCAGAAGTACATAGCTCCAGCTAACATTAATAATTCAATTCTTTGGAACAATAATCTAATCAAAATAAGTGGAAAAGCAGTTTGTTTTAAAAATTGGATTAAAAAGGGCATTAACTTTTTAAAAGACATCTGTATTAATAATGGAATAATGCCATATGAACAATTGTCTCATATCATTGGAAAAAATGCAACTACCCTAATTCAGTATATAGGCTAAAAAGCAAATATTAGAAAAAAGATTATTGTTGAACTAATTAGTTCTAAACTTTTATTGGTAGAAACATCCCTGAGAATTTCAAATGAATCCCTCAAACGGTTTGGCTGGAAACCTGTAGACAAGCCTTGACAGACAAGATTTTAGGACGGAAAATCCAAAATGGCCGCCTTAACATTTACCCAGAATGCAGAAAAACTAATCAGTTCTAAACTTTCATAGGTAGAAACATCCCTGAGAATTTCAACAGTTTGGCTGGAAACCTGTAGACAAGATTATTCGTGACGCCCGCCCGCCCAACCGCCGGCCCGCCCGTCCGCCCGCCCGGCAAACTGATTACAATAAAGCACCTTAGGGTGCGATAAAAACATTGAATGTTAGCCATCAAACTATTTCACTTCATCGTCTGAAAGATGGGTGTGACGTTATGGAAAAAGCGCCTCAATTTACCCGCTTCACTAGAATACGCTTGCTTTAAAAGCAACTCGTTCTTAATTTATAGTAAAATCGTCACACGGCCACCAAGATTGTTTTTAATTTACGGCATTTATTAAGCTGGGAGTCATTAACAGAACTTTTAGGTTGGCGAAGGGAGATTCTTCTTTATATGCATGCTAAGTTTCAAGCTGCTAAAATATCCACCTATTCTTACATGATAAGCAAATATGTTCCTGAGCTGGGAATCTTTGAAATCGCGGAGACAGGTTTAATCACAGCGCGCAATGATATCAAATGACATCATATTTCAATTTGTGCTAAATAATTAAATACGATGACACAATTTGAAATTCGTTTACGAACGATAAAACTTATGAATGACTTACGAAAGTGTTCTGTTAATGGCCAATTCTTAACTTTACTAATTCGTAAGTCATTCGTAACTTTTTAAATATTTACGAATTTCATAAAGTTAACAATAGTTCCCGTGCCCCTAAATAACATTTGAAAATGTATAAAGGTTCCACCGTCGATTTTTTCTGTTATTTAGATTCAAAATTTCGGCTTTTTCTGATAATTGTAAGAATTTAATCAATTATCTCCAACAAGAAATGTAAATATTGCTCACCGGTATAGTTTTGCCATACGCGTATTAGACATGTGAACCGCTTAAAATGTCTTGGATTAACTTCAGTTTGATTATCTGAAGAATTTGAGTTCCAAGAAAATTCGATTCAGGGTAAATAAAACATTATTATGCCAATCTTTGTAAAGGCCTGTGACTTCTTACCCAATTGACCTTTTGCGATCAGAATTCAGGAATTTTGTTTATGGATACTGTTGTCACGTATTTCGTCTTATTGGTATGACGTCATATAGAAATGATATTAGACATGATGGAATCACGAAATGGCGGACACGTGGCAGTTTTGAGTTAAAAATATTGTCGTTTCTTATATAAAAACCATGGGTCGGATATTTACCAGGTATGCCGATTTGACTAGATCATGAGTATGTCTATATATATGCGAAGTTTGGGTGAAATTCATACTAAACATCGATGCCTATAAGCGCCCCCCGTTTTTGTCAAAATCGGGGGGCGCTAAACCGCTATCTAAATCATGTCAGTAAGACCTTAGACTTGGTATGTGCTTAGCATGAATGTTGATCTAGTCAAATAGAACGCTTTCGTGAAAAATAAATCAATAAAGCACGAAATATAGAAGATAATCTCTCAAAATCAAGCATCTTAAGCTGGGTGACCTAATTGTGACGTCACTAAAAGACAGAATCCATTCGGTGATCGCAAATCATCAATTGATGATTTGCGATCACCGGATTGATTCTATCTTGTAGTGACGTCACAACCAGGCCACACTGCTATAACTTTTTGATTTTTAGAGATTATCTTCTGTATTTCGTACTTTATTGAATATTTTTTACGAAAGCGTTCGATTTGACTAGATCAACATTCATGCTAAGCACATACCAAGTCTAAGATCTTTCTGACATGATTTAGATAGCGGTTAAGCGCCCCCCCCCGATTTAAAAAAACGGGGGGGGGCGCTTATAGGCATCGATGTTTAGTATGAATTTCACCCAAACTTCGCACATATATAGATTTACTCAGGATCTAGTCAAATCGGCATACCTGGTAAATATTCGACCCGTGGTTTTCATAAAAGAAACGATAATATTTTTAGCTCAAAACTGCCACGTGTCCGCCATTTCGTGATTCCATCATGTCTAATATCATTTCTATATGACGTCACACCAATAAGACGAAATACATGACAACAGTATCCATAAACAAAATTCCTGAATTCTGATCGCAAAAGGTCAATTCGGCAGTTCAATTGACGCCATATCAGATTTTAATTGACTCAATTTTTATAAACTTTGACATTTTTTGAGGAAAAATCTAAAATATTGTTTTTATTGTTTTAAACAAAAGTTCACGACTGAACTATTAATCTCCTCAAAATCTCATTTTCACTCCACGAGGAGTGAAAATGAGATTTTGAGGAGATTAATAGTTCAGAGTATATAAGGACGTGTCATACCTTAATCTCTTCGTTTATATATGCCTTCAGTGAAAAAATATATATTTTAAATCATAATGAGGGACAATGATGTTTTAGACGCCCGTTTCCATGGCAACCGAATTTTACCACTGTTAATGAGGACTATTTCTATTATTAGAGATATCTCTGTCATTTTTTATCCGATTTTGATGATATTAACGCCAAATGAAAGCTTAAGGAACAAAGTTTATGATTGGTTCAAAATTATGCAAATTAGCTCATTTGCATATCAACTGTGACGTCATAACCCAATTTTTTGTTCAATAATGGATGGGTTTTTAATACTTTAAACAATACAAACTATTATTTTATTAAATCATTGAGGTTAACTTACGATATCTTATTAAAGTATAAATATTTAACATCATAGCTCCATTATGATATATAATATGAGGCATAATAACTATGAAAAGTATAAATGTAGTCTACTGGAGTTGTTCATTTGAAAATCTAAGTGCTGATAAATGTACCTTTATAATGAAACAGGGAACTTGAAATGGAGTTTCAAAATCTAATCTTTATTATAAAAGTATAATAAATACTGTACTAAATGAAAGCTACTAGTTTACCCTATATACATTCAATGATAACTTGTGCAGATATGTGTGTAAGTGATATATCGGTTACCATGGCAACCATATTAGATAACAAAAAGATTGTTCCTGTTATAGAGTATATATAATCATTTATTATCTCTTATATCGTTCAGGCCGATTTCCAAACATGTGAACACGGAAAAAGTTATCTGTTCTTTCAAGTCATTTAAAATTGTTTTCCTGATCAGGTTTTATCATCCTAGAACTATATTATCCCTTCAACAATTATATTTCTGAATTTTTGCTTCTTCTTTCACTATAATGTTTTGTTTTACATCAACTTGGCAGTCATGTCTTCAGTTATGTGTGGTTATGTGTTCAGGCTAAGTAAAGGTGGTAGCAGTTATGTCTTCAGGCATTGGCACTGAAATCATAGGTAAAGATGGTGGCAGTTATGTCTTCAGGCATTGGCACTGAATTCATAGGTAAAGATGGTAGTAGTTATGTCTTCAGGCATTGGCACTGAATTCATAGGTAAAGATGGTAGCGGTTATGTCTTCAGGCATTGGCACTGAATTCATAGGTAAAGATGGTAGGAGTTATGTCTTCAGGCATTGGCACTGAATTCATAGGTAAACATGGTAGTAGTTATGTCTTTAGGGATTGGCA